GACCAAGACAGTGCATACCTCAGCAATGAAATCACAGAATTTCTCATTAAGCATAACATAACTCACTACACTACTGAAGACCATAACCATAACATACTCGGCATCATAAACCGCTTCATAAGAACGCTCAGAGATTTAAACCAAGAGCGAGACTTTACCGAAGAAACAATGAAACATTTTCTCGAAGTATATAATTCCTCAACACATTCTACAACAGGGCATACACCAAATTCAATGACACAACAACAAGAAGAAAAGTATATACAAAAGAAACGAAGCCAAACACAAAATATCAGAAATTCAACACAATTTACCCTCATTCCTGGTACAAAAGTTCGTGTAGTTCTTGATGACAAACCGTTGACAAAGAAACGTTTAAGGTTAAGTAGAAACTATTATATCGTAGACTCTACGCAAGGTAATGGATATCTTATAAAAGCTGCCGACGACTCTATTGCGTTTTACCCTCGTCACAAATTAGTCGAAAGTAGTAATGGCAAACTTGCTGAAACCATTGACGAAGCAAAGCGAGGAGTGGTTATTGAAATACTTGGCTACAACATAAACGATGACACTTATAAAGTAAGATATGAAGGAGGCGTTGAAGATGTTATACCATCTAAGAACTTGAGAGAGTCGAAGCCAACACATCTGGGAGCATTAGAGCGGGAGTACTGGAAAGACAAAAATAAGCCAGAAAGAATAAGAAAATTCTTCTAAACTTTTTCATTAGATGTAAATCAGACATGAATGAGAACAGTCATGATATCATTAATGGTACCATTTATTTTAACATAAAGACGCAAAGCGGCGAGGACGAAGTCCATGACCAAAAATAATGTTTAGGGTAGAAGGTTAGATCTAACCTCATTTCTACCCTCATTTCTACCCTCACGAATTTTCATGAATTCCTTAAGATAGAAAAAATAACGCTAATTTTTTTCTAACAAATTTTTTATTTTGTATGTAAGAACAGTAATGTCAGTCGAAGCAAAAACGTTCACGAACAAATCTAATGGCGAAACATTCACAAAAGGCACTTATAACGGTATTGAAGTCTTACGTAGAGACAAGGATGGTTACATTAATGCAACAAATATGTGTCAGCAGTTTAGGAAAGACTTTAGAAAGTTGTTGGAAAATAAGTCCTGGGAAGAGTATTATAAGGCGTTTTGTGAAGAATATAGCAACCGCCGGAATACAGACGGTTGGTTTTTATACAAAATTCATGCAGGAATTCCTGATGAAATCAAACAGGTTAGAGGAACGTATGTAGACCCAAGACTTATAAACTATATAGCAATGTGGGCTTCTCCAAAATATTGCATAGCAGTTGGAAAAATTATGGACTCCATAGACAAGAAAGTTCATGAGAAATTAGATGAAGAAGAACTTGAAGATACAGTAGAGAATGCTAAACCTTTGTTCGAACAAGAAGTTAGAAAAATGCGCGAAAAACAATTAGAACATGAACGTGAGATATGTTATGGTTATAGAGATTCTCCATACGAACTAGACCAATGGGAACAAGAAGATTTAAAGAGAGAATTTAGAGAATATGAACTCGCTAAGATAGCATTAGAAGCTGCAGAAAAGAAGTTAAAAGTTTGGGGTCGTTTTGTACAAAAATATTGTGAGTAAATGAACCATTTATTTTGTCATAAACGACCAAAAATAATGTTTAGGGTAGATGGTTAGATCTACCCTCATTTCTATCCTAGCCGCTTTGCGGCTCTGACCCTTTGGGTCTCATGAATTTTCATGAATTTCCTTAAGATAGGAAAAAATAACGCTAATTTTTTTCTAAGAAAATTTTTATCTTCTTGTATAAAAGATATGATTTCAACAATCGGCACAACAACAATTCAAACAACTTCACCAAACTCGTTAGTCATGAATCCAACATCTATGTTAGTAGAAATGAAAAGCTTCATTCCTTCTTCATATACTTTTGAAACAGAAATCCAGAAGATAAAGCAAGAACTTTTAACAAGTAATTTAGACTGTACCGCACAGGATGAAGAAAATGAACAGTATCTTTATGAAATGCAGGATATTATTGACCATTTACCCAAATTGCCTGAAATCCAACAACAAAAGCTCACTATTCCTGAGTTCGATGAAATAGAAGTGAAACCAACTGACTCAGTAGAAATAAAGAAGTTCATACGTAAAGTAAACTATGAGTTTCTAGATATCATTGCAACCATAAAGTTATGGACAAAGATTGCGACATGGTATATAAGAACATCTCTGACATATATAAATCGGTGGAGTTTAAGACATACGACAACTTTGTTTCATTAGTTGCAAAATGTGTATGGCAGATAAGAGATAAAGATAGAAGAGGTAAGGTATGGAATGAACAGATAAAACCAACTGCTTCAGATTTAAAGAAAACCATTGACGCCTTGGTTGTTTTAGCAGGTAAGGTTTCAGAATATAACGCAAAAACGATGCCGCAATGTTCAAAATGTAAGGCAGCAATGAGGAAATATAACTACTCCGTCAAAGAGATAGAACGTATGAGAAACGACTATGCAGACTTAAAGAAAGAAGCAGAAAAGCCGGCAGAAAATAAAATGGACATGTTAGAATTTCTGAACAAAAACTATCCAACTGCTGACGATTTCCTTCTATCTGACGTCAAGAAGAAGTATAAAGAAACTTTCGGCATTGTTAAAACTTTTGATATATTAACTGAAGAAATAGAAGCTACAAAACTGTTTAGAATCTCACGAATTCATAACGTTTACCATGTAAAACGGTTATAAATAATGAGGGTAGAAATGAGGGTAGATCTAACCTTCTACCCTAAACATTATTTTTGCTGAAAAATGACCAAATTTCATGAATTTCATTAGTTAGAAAAATAACGCTAATTTTTTTCTAAGAAAATTTTTTATCTTGTATGTAAGAAACAGTAATGACAACATCAGAGAACACAACAATTGCTATCGTTCATGAAGCCATAAATGAAGAATATGAATACATACAGTATAACAAACAGTTACGTCTCATTCGTTCAGTCAAAGACGATATGTATCAAATGCAAAGTATAATGAATGCTCTTTGTTCTACAAAGCAAGCATATCATTGGTTTGAAAACCAACAGACAAAAGAACTTTTAGAAGAATTTCCTCATATGATTGCTTCCCTCGGAAAACCGGGAAGAGATTCCGTACGAAAATCGCAAGAATTTGGCACCTGGTTTGAAAGGTTATTATATTCATAGACTTTTAGTAAATGCTGTAGCAATGTGGGCTTCACCTCGTTATGCTTGTTATATTTTCATGATGTTAGATGAACTATATAAAGCAGAACGTGGAGATTGGAAAAGAAACTTCATGCAAAAGATGAAGTCATTGAATCCAAAGACAAAAGCATACAGAAAAGAATACCGCGTTCGGTACCAAAAGGTAAGGAAAAGAGTTATAAGTATATGATATATACCGAAGAGTTGGAGAAAGAAGAAGATAAAGATATGGTTATGTTGCATTTAGTCAGAAGAAACAACAAGAGCTTTTATGACTTAGCTAAAATATATAAATCTGACAGAAACTGGTTCTATCGTGAAAACTTACCGATTTCAATGACACCGAATGAGCAAATAAAGGAAATTGTCAAAAATACTCTTCCTCAAACACACTATGACATCAAAGGTTGCACAATACTTACATTCAAAGAAGACTTAACATTACTGAAGGAAAAAATAACAGAATATTTCGATATCTTCAAAGAGGAAGAATGAAGTCACGACAACATTAACGAAGAAGTCACGACAACATTAACGAAGAGAGAATGAGGTGAAAAAAGAGGTGAAAAACGGGTGAGATCTCACCTCTTCACCAAAAATATATTTTTGCTTAAATAGCTTCAGGGTCTATTTCTTCAACCATTTCACTTCCTTCGTCAATGTCAATAGAAGCTTCTTCAACCTTTGGTAAGAATTTCTGTATAACATCTTTGTTCGTTATTGTCTTCAGAGATGAAGGATAATATTTCACATTTGTTTCACCCTTCTTATATTCTTTCTGTTCGGAAAGATTCATAGCAATACTGAAGAAGTCAACGTTAGAGTTCTTTATAACAGTATAATGAGTATCTTTGACATTCACGAAGAAACTCTTTTGTTTCAAAACTACTGCTAACTCTTGTGAAGTATAACGTTTGCGGTCAATGACGATAGCTAATGGTCTGACATACTGACCAAACTTAGATTCTTTCACAAACTTCTTGTTAAAGATAACATTAACATTTGAAGCATTATTGAACTCATTCTTGATGGCAGTAGCGAGAGCATTGTATGAAAAGAACTTGCAATCTTGCATGTGTTTCATTAAAATAAAAAGTTTGAAATATTTTAAAACTAACCTTAAAAAATCTAAGCTAATTTTTTTCTAAGAAAATTTTTTTATTTCCTACTAAAGATGTATCGGAAGTTGTCTAAGTTAGAACACTCGGAAATAAAACAACTTCTTAACAGAAGCTAACATAGAAGTAGCAAAACATTACGCAACAAACAAAAAAGCACTCGCTGACATCCTCAATGACTACAATGGTGCAATAAGTTATGATAGAATTCATGAGTTCATAAAGCCGCAACGCGGCGAGGACGAAGTCCATGCAAGAGCATTTCCTTTAAATGACGTTGCTATTGACTTATATCATAGACGTTCAGTACCTCATGAAGTAAGAAGAGAAATGTTTGACATAACAAATGCAAACGTTGGTGAAACAAGAAGAAGAGACGACACACTGAAACAACAGAGAAGAGAGATGTTTAAGAGCGCTATAGAACAAGTTCGCAAAGCTAACGATGTCATTCGTTCCATTGACGACAAACCAAAAGAAGGTGAGAGATGGTTAAAGAAAGATGAAGAGAATAGGAAGAGGAATGTGAAGTCAGGCAATAGACTCATTGACTTTAACATCGAAGCTTTAGATGAACCAAACAGAGACTACTTACACAAACATTTCGGTAAGGTTTTCATGAGACTCTTAGAGAAGATTAAAATAAACTCACAACAAAGATGGATGGTATGTTATAAACTTGGTGGAAAGTATGAATGTTCTACGTTAAACCTCAATAATATTGGAACATTACTACATCAGCTCTTGAAGGAGAACTTTATATCAGAGATAGAAGCAAATGCTGCAGGTATTGTTGAAATGCACTATGACTTCTTCTTGACAAACATAAAGAATCTTACTGAAATAAAGATGTATGATTTAACTGAATATGAAGGCTTAACGATGTCAGATGTTAAGAAAGGAAAGCCAAGAAGCGACCATATAGAGATGAAAGCACACTGACAAATGACCAGAAAGCCATTTTGGAAGCTCTTAAGCAAACAGGAAACCCAGCACTTATAGAAAGCTTTTGGAAAGATAATGGTGAAAAGAAGTTTTATAAGAAGAGAAGCGGTCAGTTCTGGAAGTATCTTTGCACATTACCTATAAATCTTGAACGCTACCAAATCTTCAATGAACTGAACAAAAGAACTGCAGCACTTATGACAGAAGACAATTGTTTCGTTTATGCTTGCATTCAGGCTGGAGTAAATGAAGAAACTATTGACCACATGAGAGAAGTCATTCGTGTTAGAGACTTTCCTCAAAGTAAAGTACAAGAAATTTCTGACGCAACAGGTATAGCATTTAATGTTACCATTGGTTATTTCGACAACTCCAAAGATAACAGAATAATTCACTACATACCAAAAGAATGTGAAACTGCTCGAACTATTGACTTACTTCTTGTTGAAGACCACTACATGCTAAATGAAAGATTACCAATGACATACTTCATCAGAAATTACAGAGAAATCTTGAAGGAGTGTGGTGGAATGAACATTGAGAAACAGATGAAGATTTATACAAAGAGAGAGAACAAATATGTTGTTCGTAATGATAGAACTACACCTCTATGGGATGTTATGAAAACATTGTGGGAGTGTAAATATTTCGAACCTATTTCTTATGGAGAACTTTTCACATATACGACTGACTTATATAAACAGAACCTTGCACCATTTAAAGACTTGTCATATTCTCCAAGTATTGTGTTCGACTGAAGGAGAAAGCAGAGTCAAAAGAAGTAAATAAAGCTAAGTGTAAGTTCATTCCTGAGCACGTTTTCTTTGCTGACTTTGAGTGCAGTACCGATGGCTTTCATAAAGCTTTTAACATATGTTACGACAGTGAAGATGGTTCAGTGAGTGAAAGCATTTGGGGTCAGAACTGTGCAACAGAATTTTTGGAACGACTTCCTGACAAGAGTTTAATATATTTCCATAACCTCAGTTATGATATAAACTTCATCTTAAGACACATGACAGAAGTGAAAGGAACTCCCATCATTAAAGGTTCACGAACAATGCAAATAACTGGCTTATATAAAGGAAGGGCAATTATTATAAAAGACTCTTACAGTGTTATAAATAAGAAGCTTAAACTATTTCCTGCTATGTTTAACTTACAAACAGGACCGAAAGAAGTATTTCCTTACAACTACTACAGCAGTACTTTGTTAGCAAATGACAACAGAACTGGTGTCATTTCTGAAGCATGTAAGTTTATCCAGGGATGCAGATACATTCATGAAAAACATAGATTCCATCAAAGGTTGCAGAATAGATGAGAACCACTTCGACTTAGAAAAGTATAGCACATTTATTGCAAACAAGATGTAAGAATTTTAAGAGAAGGTTTTGTTAAGTTCCGCAATGACATATTGAAAGAGTTTGATTTAAACGTATATGACTACGTTAGTATTTGTTCAATTGCTAACAAATTGTTTGAGAACAGAGTGTACTTCCCGAATGGAAATTTATATGACCTCTCAAATAAACCAAGAGAATTTATTTCACGCTGTATTCAAGGTGGAAGATGTATGCTGTCAGATAACATGAAACAAAAGAGCGAAAAGAAACTCATTGCTGACTTCGACGCTGTTTCATTATATCCATCCGCTATAGCAAGACTTTATACTTTAGAAGGTATTCCAAAGGTTATGAAGAAAGAAATGTTAAGCACAGAGTATCTCATGAGACATTTATTCGATGACGACCAAAAGGAACCCATTGGTGAAAAGTTTATGTCCGGCTTCTTTGTTCTCATTAAGATAAAGAGATTGGAATACATAGACACTTTCCTTTAATAGTTTGTGACCCTGAACTAAATCCAGAACTTAACGTTCCCAGAAGTTCAAACACTTGCTGTTTAATGTATGTTGACCATATAACATTACAAGACCTCATAAAATATCAAGGTGTCAAATGTGAAGTGTTGCAAGGATACTATTACGATGGAAACAGAGATATTAGAATAAGAGATGAAGTAAAGAAGTTGTTTGAGTTAAGGTTAAAGTATAAGAAAGAAGGAAATCCTTTGCAAGAAAATATAAAGCTCATTTGAACAGTATTTATGGCAAAACTATTCTATCTCCTATTGAGTCAAAAATAACCATAGTAAATGACAAAGATGCTATAAGATATGCCATCAGAAACTACAACCATATAGTGAAGTTCGAAGGTTTGGATGGTTCAGATAAAACTATTTTCAAGCTAACGAAAAGCATTTGCAGACACTTTAACTTCTGTCCACTTGGTGTTAACATTCTGTCTATGTCGAAGAGAATAATGTGTGAAGTATTCTGTACTGCTGAAGATATGGGACTTCAAATATTTTACCAGGACTGTGATAGCATGCATATTTTCAATGAAGACATACCAAAGCTTGCAGCAGAGTTTAAGAAGAGATACGGTAGAGA